AGCTAGAAATAATTAAATTCATTGAAAGACAAATTATCATTGCAGTTTCTAATAATGAGTATCCTTCTCTATGATCAATAAAGTTGTCCACTATTAAATTAGAAAGTTATTAAAATACCTTTTATAGCAGAAATAATTAACTAATAATCCAAATTTTCTAGCGATTATTCAGAATTTATAGTTTTTCTATTAAAATCTACAATATGATAATACGTCTCATTTTAAAGTTACAAATTGCTAAAAACATTGAAATATTAATCTAACCTTTCTGATAAAATTCTTTTAGTAGTATCTTTATCAGGATCAAAATATTAATCTCTCACAATCTATAGATAACCTTTACCTAAAAATAATTGAAAAATTCCATTCCCTTGATAATCTATCTCTGCTTTGCAATCTTGATTTAAGGACTAATATTATTCTTATTTTATTTCTTGGTTAATCCTCAAAATCAAAAGACTTTGACTCTTGTAAAATTCTAAATATTAAGTAATAGTCCAATATGTAATTAAATCATTGCTTAAGTTAATTGAAATAGTATTTGAGCTATTCTGATTATTATTTTGAATTTTGAATTTTTAGCATTTTTAATGTTTAATTTCATCTTGTACAGTTGCTCCAATAACTTTTACAATCAAAGAGAATATAGATATTCATGAATTTGATTTTCTATTTTCAACAATTAGCTACAAATCATATATTCCTTCATCTTCAATTAATGGGCTTAAAACAATTTAGCGAAAGGTAATCTCAATAAATTTTGGCTTATTCTAAATCACCATAGTGTACCCTGATTCTATTTTAATCCCAAAACTCAATAGTTCAAATACTGTTTTTATTTTAGATATAACTTCTAATGATTAAGGCGGAGATTTCAGATCTGCAATTTTGTGTAAATTTTGATAAGGAAAACTGCTGCTAGTGTTATTCGTGCCATTGAAAGTAGTGGCTTCAATTTATTTTCAATTATCTTCTTTATACACATATAAACTCCAAAAAGCAGGATAATCCTATCCAGAACCGTCCTTGATGTCTACATCTATAGCAAATTTGAAGAATCGAAATGTTTCGAGTTTATCTACATCTGGGAAAAATGTGTAGTTGGAATTATTAGAGATCAAATAGGTGTTTGTTATATTATCAAATGTTATGAAACTGGGTAAATATGTACCTACTGGCTTTCCTACAAATACTGGTCTGCATAATCCCCAGAACGCATCACTCAAGACATCTATTACCATCGAACCACTCCCTATATAGTAGTCATATTTCATCTTTTTTTCGTTGAATATAGTAGAATTGCAAGATATTTACAAAACTAGTTGAAGTTAATAAATCATATCTTTCTTTTAACTATCATAATAGAATTTGAATTTTCTGACGTATCTACCTCTAGATGTGAGATTTTGTGAAAAAATAGTCATTTACATGTAATCTTTGTCAAATTTAATCGGATCATGAAAAGGTAATGTAGGAGAACTTGTATTTTCAATTTCTAAATAAGGATCTGGACATTAGGGGAATGGCTTTTGATACATAGGTTTCACATTTTAAATAACTGGATCCATATACAAGTAATAGGTTATAAAAACTGACTTTTACTCTTAATAACAACTCAAAAGATTTAACAGTATATATAAGCTTGAAAACTATAAATCAGGAAATGAGATAATAATCTCAAATCTATTTGATTTTCCGTCAACTTTATCCTCGTATTTAAAGATAAAATATGCATTCTCTAAATAGTACTTGCTTGATTAATCGTATTTATTAAGAGTGAAATTTCTATTTGCATCTGAACAATTTTCATCACCAATTATTAAGCTATTTAAATCAAATCTAAAGTCTAATGGATCTTCTTTAATAACATTTATCTCAAAGTTAGTGTATTTAAGAATGATAGATGATTTTTAAGAGCAATAGCGAGGGTATTCTTGATAATATTATACAATATCTATATATTTCAAAGTATTATCGTTTTATTCTTGTAACACTAAGGCACCATCCTAGAAAATATTATAATAGTTATACTCCTTTATCAAATATTATGAGGTAACTTCCAGATTATGTTAACTATCTAAATAACCATTAAGCTTAGTCCTTGGATAACATGATTAGTTTTCGTCATTAATGTTAAAAAATGAAGCTTTATACCTAATATATGCTTACCCAGAAAAAATAATATGTAAATCATCTGTAATCTT